CGAGGACTCGCGGAATAATAACGGTGGCCGAGAGCGACCGTTGCGCTAATAATTGTGATCCAGTTGCGCCGAATCGATGCCGAAATTGTACCCACTGTGGAAGAAGTTACGAACCGCCCGAAATGAAGCCGTAGCGATTGTTGTAATTTTTGTTCAGTAGTTTTTTGCCGAAAGATTAATCCCATCAATAAACAATAAATTAAATATGAATAAAGATGAAACGATTAAAAATCGTACTACTAATGCGCGCGTATCGATTCTGTCTAACACCGTTTAATGATACAATTTTCCATCAGCAGAGTCGAGACGGTATTGACAATTAATTACATGATTAATCTCTTTTTCTCTCTGAATTAATAATGTATTCTATTAAAGCAGCAACTTTAATCACTCCGAGAACGAGTAAATTTACATATTTTTGAGTTTATATTCTTTTCAAATAATAAAAATATCGTAGTCTTAATAATTATCGATAGAACGACTTAATCATAAAGTGAAACAATAATTGCATGTCATAGAATTCTCTTTAGCCATATATGTTTTAAAAATTTTCAAAAATAATTTTAAATCAAATTAATGAGTAGTCTTGCTTTAATCAACCTCTGACATTACTACGATATCGGTTATAGTATATCAAACGCTGTTCAATTATCAATCGTGATCGACAGAATAATTTAATCTCAAGTGCAATCGAGTTGGGCAAGACGATTAGTTATAGAAAATGCATGCCTAATATCGCTCGCGTCGTAATCACGCGCGATTGGCGCAACAATATATTGCAGCACGTGTATTTTTTAGCATTTCGCTTGCGTGGTATCGCAATAATGTAATATTGTCAGCTCACTAAAATTGTCGATAGATAATGACGCTTCTTATTAACCAGTTATAAATGCAACAACGCGTATATGTATGCGCCGCGGGCCCGCCAGACCGACCTTTTTGTTCGCTTCGCGATCGATCCACGTTGCGCATCGTTACGTGTAACCTTTCAAATAGTGCGCGCGCTTTAGAGAATCCGAAACCAAATATACATTCACGTTACCTGAGTTGAA